TAAAGCTCAAACACTCAAACTTTAATGGTGTCATATACTATTACACTTTTCATTATCATAATCCCTAAAAAAATATGATTTGAGACCCCATAGGCTGCATTTATTAACACTTATTGAGCATTTGTTAAGCTAGGTAACTGCTGAGTGCTTTTATCTCCATTATATCACAAATCCTAGCAGTTGCCCGTGGAGAAATGGTCATCTACATTTTATAGCTAAGGACTCTGAGGCTCATAGAGGCTGGGTAAGTGATGTGCTCAGTGTCTCATAGCCAGGAGGTCAGCCTATCAGGCCTCCTAATTCCAATTTGGAGTTCATATCTATATATCTATGTAACAGTCATATTATATTCTTTTCTTCCAATGTTATATTAGAAGCTGATCCTCTGACTTTGGCCGTGGAGACACTGAAGCTGGACCAAAGAGACTGAAGTTCTCTCTGGGAGTGTTGGTCTACTATGTTTCTTGATACTGCTTACTGTTTTTAAATGAGTTAATAGATTTCATTAAGAGTATGTGTTTAAAACTAAACACAGTGGTGTTTGGGAGAATGTATAATTCAGGGAAACAAAATTTGATGAAAATTGCTTATGCACTTTTTTTTTTCTTTTTCTGTTTAAAGATCAAAGCCTATCAGTTACTTTGGAGTCAGACTTTAAAACAACTGAAATTATAGCCCAGTTATTTTAGGTCTCACAGCTCTGTTCAGACAGAAAGGTTGTATTTGAGCCAGTGAGTCTCAGACCTGTGAGAGCTGGGAGCCAGATCCCCTGTTTGATAACAAAGGGCCCTGACACTGGACTCTTGATGTGCGCTTTTTCCAAGGTAACATAAAATGTTTAATAGAGAACTCACAGATACCCATCTGATGGATTTTGGTGGAATTGCCAATTACACAAACAATTATAAAAGTTAAAGTCACCTAGCTCCTCACCAGAACCCCCCCAAAGAAAAAGCCCCTTAATTCTCCATGTTTTAAGCACGTACCTCTCTAAGTATTGCTGCTGTTCATGATAAATCAAGAAGTTAAAAGCTAAATCAACCTATTATAGAGTTCCAAAGATTATTGTGACTTTTTGTGTATAACAGAAAATACCAGCTTTTCTTTAATTATCTGGTATCAAGTATGAGTTACTTATCTGTTTTGGTTGGGTTTTTTTTTGTTTGTTTTTGTTTTTGGCTAAATAGTATTACTCATTGAATTCATATATCTCTAAGTAGGCATCTGCTTACACCTAATTTTAAACAAGTCATTTCACAAACATTTATTGAACACCTACTACAGGTCAAGTGAGCAATACAAACAATAAAAAGATAAGGATGACAAAAATCATAGACCAATACCCCACCTGCACAGACATGTTACTTGATCTCTCTCTACTTCCATTTCCTCTTGTAATTTGGTAATAATGTCTACCTCACAAGACTGTTATGAGGATTAAATGACACAGTGAATGGCATATATGAAGTGCCTGGACTTGAAAAAAATTAAAGAGCTATTGTTTTATAATCCATATTTTCACTGCTAGAGTTAAGTGACTTATAGAAAATCACAATGAATTGTTGAAAGGGTTGGAAATAGAATCTTAATTTCCCTCTGATTTTCTCACAAACATAAATTTATTCAGTGATTTTGCTGTTTGGTTTTGCAGTTGTTTATTGAGTATCTCCTATTTGTAAGTTGCTCTGCTAAGATCTGTGGAAAATGTAAGTTACTATTGGACACACTTCCTGTCCTTACATGCTTGTGACTATTAGGGATGTGAGACATATGCACAAATAACTGTGGTGCCAAGAAGAAAGAAATAAGTGATATAAAACTGGCACAGGCAACAGAAGGAAAATTAAAAAGGGAAGGGTTGGGGTGCCTGGGTGGCTCAGTCGGTTAAGCGTCCGACTTCGGCTCAGGTCATGATCTCACGGTCCATGAGTTCGAGCCCCGCGTCGGGCTCTGTGCTGACAGCTCAGAGCTCAGAGCCTGGAGCCTGCTTCGGCTTCTGTGTCTCCCTCTCTCTCTGACCCTCCCCCATTCATGCTCTGTCTCTCTCTGTCTCAAAAATAAATAAACATTAAAAAAAAATTACACACACACACAAAAAAAGGGAAGGGTTCATGGATTGAGGGACATCTGAGTTGTGCCTTGAAGGATTGATAAGGTTTGGATATATGGAAAATGCAGAAATACATTCCAAGGAAAAGAAACAGTAAATATATGATACAGGAAGTTGTGGGAGTTCATTAGGCTAGAGAAAGGATCTATGAAGGGCCAGCCTAGCAGAAAGGATGAAGAGGCACAGAATCCATGCTAAAGCATTTAGATGAGAAGTGTCACAATGTTGTGAAATCCACCAGTGAGATAGAGAGTTTAGGAGTGGAGGGTTAAAAGCGAGATGGCAAAATGTTAGCAATTGGTAACTGATGAATATAGGTGAAGAATATATAGATGTTCATTATACTATTGGCAATTTTAATATAGGTTTGAAATTATTTTTTAAAAAGTTGAGGGAAAGAGATTAAAATACATGAAAAACTACTAAAATCAGTAAGCAAGGGACAAACCACTAGCCTAAGAATAGGCAAAACATATGGCAGGAAATGCTGCAAGAGACTATAATGGCCAGTAAATGAATAAAAATATGTTCAGCCTTTTAGGTGTTAAGAGGAATGTAATTTCAAGTAATGAGACACTACTTTTCATCACCGGATTACACCATTTTTTAGGTGTAATCATATTGTAGGTATCCAGATAAAAGAGATGTTAATACTAACCTTCTGTGATTGTTGTAGGGATTTGAAAGCAGAATATGTGAAGTGCCTGCCACATAGAAGAGCTCAGTAACAACATCTCCTTCCACTATTACTATTGCCTAATAAATGATCATGAATACCTGAGCTAGGGTCCTGACAGCATGAATGGAAGAGTATCAGCTGGGTTTGGCAGCTGGTTGCACTTAAGAGAACATGGAGAAAAGAGCAGAGCTTAGGACAAACTCAGTGTGGTTTGTTTGTAAAAGAGAAATTGCTAAAGAAAATTATATTTGCTATGGAAAGGAAGAAATGTTGGCTTAATTGAGGTGTTTGCCATACTGATTGTTGAATACTCAGTCTTTTCAAGGAAGAGTCACTGAGTCATAGAAATTGAAGGTAGACCCATAATTTAAAGCCTTTTTAAATGCTCTGTTTTTCAGAATTATATTCATAAATATATATTATGGGCACACACACAAAAACAAAACAGTAAATGAAAGTACCCCCCTCCCATATCTCCTTATGGAAAGCCATTCCTAACTTTCTCATGTTTGCTACCAGAAAAATATGATGATACCAGTATAGTGTGTGTGTGTGTGTATGTGTGTGTGTGTGTATGCCCATGCGTACATGTATGCTTTTAAAAATTCACACCAATGGTAATATGTCATATAAAAATCTGCACCTTGCTTTTTTTTCTTTAACTCAGTGCAATCTTCCTTTATTCTATTCTAAGATCCTTAACATCTGCTTAAGAGTCTATTGACAAGATATAGCAAAAGGATTGAATTCATCCTCCATAAATGAGCCTATAAGGTTGTATTTAGTTTTTTACTGTTATAAACAAGTAGTCATGAACATTAGTGTTTATTTATCTTGATGTTTGTTTTGGGAGCATATTGGTAGCATCGGTTCCTAGAAGTAGAACAGCTGCGCCGTAAGTATTTATATTTTTAATTTTGATAAATAACTTTACTCTTAAAAGGCTCTACTGTTTTTTCTTCCTCACCAACATTAGACATTACCAACTTATAAATTTATTAAGAGAAATATAATCTTACTTAGATATATATGTATCAAGTATTTATTGTAGCATTTCTTATTTATTGTCAATTACAGGTGAGGTTGAGTAATTTTTAAAATGTTCACTGGCTTTTACATACCTTTTTTGTTTTTAATATAATATTCTGATTTTATATTTCTATAAAATTCTATAATAATTCTAAAAAATCAACCTATTGTTGTCTAAACCCCTATATTTATGTAAGTTGTATGCTTTAAAAAAACTAATGAAACTAAAATTACGTTAATTTATGTATTTGGTTCAATTAATCATTAGCTATCTCTCTCAAGGAACTGGACAAGGCACTAAGGGTGTGAATACGTTATCTTTTTACGAAAATTCCCATTACTCTTTTACATTGATTTTATATGTTATTCATATAGTAATAATCTATTTCTGTTACATTTTGCAAATATTTTGCAAATATTTTCCCAGTTATTTACCTTTTGATTGTATAATTGTTTTTGTCATATAAAGTTTTTTTTTCAATGTACAATTAAATTTAGCAGTGTTTTCCTTTAGAGCTAGGATTTTTTTTAATCTAGGATTTATTTTTTTTTTTCCCTTTAATTACTGTCTTTGTTTGGGCTGCCATTAACAAAATACCATAGACTAGGTGGCTTAAACAACAGAAATTTATTTCTTGCCGTGGCTAAGAAGTCCAAGATCAAGGTTCGGGCCAATTCACTTCCTGGCAAAGTAACTATTTCTGGCCTTTGTAGGGCCGTCTTCTTGCTGTGTTCTCACATGGTGGAGAGAGAGATATTGAAATCTCTGGTGTCTCTTCCTCTTCTTATAAGACACCAGCCCTATTGTTTAGAGCCCTGCCCTTATGACCTCATTTAACCTTCATTAGGTCCAAAAGGCCCTATCACACCACACACTGTCACGGTGTGAGTTAGCACTTCAATGTATGAATTTGGGGTGGGAGTGCATAATTCAGCCCATTTTAATTACCAAATTTTATTTTGTATTCTGTGTTAATCCACCAAACAGTTTTGAATGCCATGTGAAATCTTTACTGGTCCCAATCACTGATATTGTTTGACTTAATATATACAGTTTTTGACAGCAAGAATATACTTTTATTCTAGTACCCCTGTGTTCATCTCAAGGGCCTCTTCCATTGGCTTATTCTGAGTGGGAAGACTATAAATATGTTAGACTTGAGGGATCGTCTGGTACAATACCTTCAATGTATATCTGTGGAAATTGAGATCCAGATTGGTAGAAGTGACTTCCTCCAAGTTTTGCAGTTAATCAGTACCAGGATTTGGAGTAGAATCCTGGTCTTTTTGGCTTCTAGTCTAGTATTGTTTCTTAAATAAGTGAAGGAATATCTATAGAGTACTTAGAACATGCCTGGCCCCTGATAAGTGCTCCTAACTGTTAGTATTCTGACTTTGCTGATGTCATTAGTATCATCATCATTATTCATAAAGAGCACAGATTCCAAAGCTAAACTGAGATTGAATCTCAGTGACAGTGGCAGTCCGTTGTTAGCCGTTCTTAGCCTCAGGTTTCTTGACCAAAAGAGGGGACAATAATGGAACCGATCTTATAGGAAGCTGAGAGAAATAGTTGATTGTTTTATACAAAGCACTTGGCGCAATACTTGCATCAAAATGATCATTATGTGAAGTATTTACTATTATTATTAGAGAAATACTCAGTCTCCTAGAATCAGCTTGAACCAATTAATCCTGTCTAGTTGCCTCCCATTATCCTCTGAATTCATGACTGTAAGCACACTCTGAAGTGGTCGCTGAAGCAATAAAAAAATGCTCACTTATGTGATGATGGAGCAGAGCAGAGCAGAGAAAGAGACGGAGGGAACATTCAGTGGTTTTGGAGGCCCGCGTGCAGAAAGAAACTGCGGAAGCTGGGCAAGAGGGAGGTGGTGCCAGGAGGAGGTTAGAAGGTGGCAAGGAAAGCTTCACCAACATTTATGATATTTAATCCTCCTCTTTGCCTTCTCCCAATGCTAATTAATATAAAGGTCTGACTCACTTTATTGTGCTTCACCTATTACACTTCACAGATACTGTGTTTTTTGCAAAGTGAAGGTGTGTGACAACCCTGCGACAGGCATTCTATTGCACCATTCTTGCAACAGCATTTGCTCACTCTGTGTCTCTGTGTTGCATTTTAGTAATTCTCACAATATTTCACCCTTTTTCGTTGTTATTGTATTTGTTATGGTGATCTATGATTAGTGATCTTTGATATAACTATGGTGATTGTATTCAGGTGCCATGAACTGCACCCATGTAAGGTGGTGAACTTAACTGATAAATGTTGTGTGCGTTCTGACTGTGCCACTGACTGGCCATTCCCCCATCTCTCTGCTCTCCTTGGGCCTCCCTGTCCCCTGAGACACGACAATATTCAGGTTAGACCAATTAATAATGCTATAATGGCCTATAAGTGTTCAAGTAAAAGGAAGAGTCATACATCTCTCACTTCAAATTAAAAGCTAGAGGGGGGTACCTGGGTGGCTCAGTCGGTTCAGCCTCTGAATTGCACTCAGGTCATGATCTCGTGGCTCATGGGTTCGAGCCCTACGTTGGGCTCTGTGCTTACAGCTCATTGCCTAGAATCTGCTTCGGATTCTGTGGCTCCCTCTCTCTCTGCCCCTCCCCTGCTTGTGCTGTGTCTCTCTCTAAAAAATAAATAAACATTTAAAAATTAAAAAAAATCAAAAGGTAGAAATGATTAAACTTAGTGAGGAAGGCATGTTGAAAGTCAAGATAGGCCAATAAATTAGGCCTCTTTTGCCAAACAGTTAGCCAAGTTGTGAGTGCAAAGGAAAAGTTCTTGAAGGAGATGAAAAGCGCTACTCCAGTGACTACATGAATGATAAGAAAGTGAAACAACCTCATTGCTGATAGGGAGAAAGTTTGAATGCTCTGGATAGAAGATCAAACTGGCCACAACATTCCCTTAAGCCAAAGCCTAACTCTCCTCAATTCTGTGAGGGCTGAGAGAGGCGGGGAGGCTGCAGAAGAAAAGTGTGAAGCTAGCAGAGGTTGGTTCATGAGGTTTGAGGAAAGAAGCCATCTCCATGACATCAAAGTGCAAGGTGAGGCAGCAAGTGCTGATGGAGAAGCTGCAGCAAGTTCTCCAGAAGGTCCAGCTGAGATAATTCATGAAGGTGGCTACACAAGCCAACAGATTTTCATCGTAAATGAAGCAGCCTTGTACGGGAAGAAGATGCCATCTAGGACTTCCATAGCTAGAGAGGAGAAGTCAATGCCTGGCTTCAGAGCTTCAAAGGACAGCCTGACTCTTTTGTTAGGGGCTAGTGCACATGATGACTTTAAGTTGAAACCAATGCTTATCATTCCGAAAATCCTAGGTCCCTTAAGATTTATGCTAAACCTGCTTTGTCCATGCTCTATAAATGTAACAACAAAGCCTGGATGATGGCACATCTCTTTCCGACATGGTTTACTGAATGTTTTTAAGCCCGCCGCTGAGACCTACTGCTCAAAAAAAGGATTCTTTTCAAAATATGACTGCTCACTGACAATACACCTAGTCACCCAAGAGCTCTGATGGAGATGGACAAAGAGATGAATGTTGTTTTCATTCCTGTTAACACAGTAGCAGTTCTGCAGCCTGTGTGTCAAGGAGTCCTTTCGATTCTCAGGTCTTATTATTTAAGAAATATATTTCATAAGGCTATAGCTGCCATAGATAGTGATTTCCTTCATGGACTTGGGCAAAGTAAATTCAAAACTTTCTGGAAAGGATTCACCATTCTAGATTCCAACAAGAACATTTGTGATTCATTGGAAGAGGTCAAAATAACATAAACAGGAGCTGGCAAAGAGTTGATTCCAACCCTCATGAGGGGTTCAAGACTTCAGTGAAGAAAGTATCTGACAATATGGTAAAAATGGCCAGAGAACTAGAATTACAAGTGGAGCTTGAAGGTGGGACTGAATTGCTGCAATCTCATGATCAAACCTGAACGGATGAGGAGTTGCTTCTTAATGATGAGCAAAGAAAGTGGTTTCTTGAGATGGAATATATTCTGTGAAGATGCTGTGAAGATTGTTGAAATGAAAACCAAGGATTGTGAATATTACATAAAATTGGTTTGTAAAGCAGCGATAGAGTTTGAGAAGACAGACTCCCAACTTTGAAAGAAGTTCTCCTGGGGGTAAAATGCTATCAAACAGCATCTCATGCTGCCCAGAAGTCATTCAGGAAAGGAAGAGTCCTCAGTGCAGCAAACTTCATTGTTGTCTTATTTTAAGAAATTGCCACAGCCACCCTGATCTCCCCCAACCCCTGAGCTGTCAGCAGCCATCAACATCAAGTAAAGACCCTCCACCAGAAAATGATTATGGTTAGCATTTTTTAGCAGTAAAGCATTTTTAATTTGAGGTACATACAGTTTTGGTTTTTTTGGTTTGTTTTGTTTTTTAGACATAATGCTATTGCCTACTTAATAAGCCACGGGACATTGTAAATATAATTTTTATATGCATGGGGAAACAAAAACAATCATTTGACTCCCTTTATTGTGATTTTTGCTCTCTTGCAGTGGTCTGGAATCAAACTTGTAATAATCTCTTGGGTATTATTGCAGGATTTGTTTACCTCAACACCCAGGATTCATTGTCTCACTGCTTTGAAGAATAAAGAGGTGGACACATAATAAAATGAGCAGCAGACAAAAGTTTACTGGAGTAGAAAGTAAGAAAATAAGAATGGTATAAAATCTCTCTTTACAGAGAAGAGGCATTTGAAAGTGAGTGCCCACAACTATAGGCGAGGGACTGTTCTATAAGGTTCTGGTCCACTTACCCTTCCCTTCCTCCTAGTTCCTTCTCAGGCCCCACCCTTTTTGGCTTGATAACTCTAGATGCCTGGGTTGGCTGTTCCTGATTAGGTCAATTCCATTGTGTGAGGAGTCAGACTATGGTCATACTCTCCCTCATATAATGTAAGGTTTATGTTTTACTTATTTTAGTTAAGTATTTTGTCAAATTCCTGAGGGGAACCTGAAGGGGAGTAGGTGGCGTCTGTTACATTCTTGGGAAGCACCTTACTCCTGAGGGGCTTTGCCGTGGTCAAAGTCTCTCAGCATTGTTCCAAAATATGTGGTTTTTTTCCCCACCCAGGGACCTCCGGTCCTAACCTTTCCCTCTTTGCCTATTTTATTGTATCTTATTCCTATCATAGTATGTCTGTAATTATATCTTGAAATGTTTTGGGCTTATAATAGAGGAGAGTTTCATAAGTCAAGACTGAGTTTTGTGTTTTTCTTATGTGCAAAAGTACAAACATTATGAAAGGAAAGTCAAGAAATAAGATGACAATCTTATAAGAAATTTGAAATAAATTATATAACTTTAAATACATATGGAATATTTTTTTAAGTTTATTTATTTTGAGAGAGAGAAAGAGAGAGCGAGCAGGGGAGGGGCAGGGTGGGAAGAGACAGAGAGAATCCCAAGCAGGCTCCGCACTGTCAGCACAGAGCCCAATGTGGGGCTCAAACTCATGAACTGTGAGATCATGACCTGAACCGAAACCAAGAGTCGGACACCTAACCAACTGAGCCACCCAGGTGCCCCTGGAATATGTTTCATCTCTGGGTTCTACAATGTTTTTCTGGAAGGAGATGTTACTATATATTAAGAATCACTTCAAGCTTAGCCCTGCTTGGTTCCATTGAGAGCGTCTTTTGTACGGCTTTTATTATAGTAGCTTTTTAAAAATTTTTCAATATGCTATGTTCACTCCTAGACTATTAGGCTTCCTGCCATTCCCATTTAATTGAAGAGCACAATTCAGTCAATTTTTAAAATATATAAATCTCACCATTTAATATTATGCATTCCCTGACTCTTCAGTAAATCCACTCATTGAGTGCCTACTATATATCAGCATTCTACTCATCCCTAACGACACAGAAATAAAAACAGCCCCACTGCGCCCACCTTTCCAGCCCCCAGGGCTTTATAGTCTATTGGGTGAAATAGTCCTGAGAACTGCAACTGCATTGTGATGTAAGTGCAATGAGCACAAAGTGCAGTGATAGCACACACAGGAGGAAATGGCTGATCAGAAATAGACCCCTTCACACAGTCCATGAGCAAATGTAGTTCTTCTGTGAGGAATAAACAATTACCGAAATACCAACATGACTAGAAATCTTTGTCCATTCGTCGATGTTACCTTACACTATTGCTGTCGTAGCACAATGTGTGTAATCTCCATATCATAGTAGTACCTAGACTACTTGAATTTTTTTTTTTTTTTTGCAAGGGTCAAAAACACGACTTTTGCAACAAAGCCTTTTGTTGGGTTACAATTTTTTCTTAGCCCATGAATTTAGAGATTGATGCCTTCTCTATGATGAGAGGCATTACTCTTCATAGATTTAGCAATCATTATTTTCTGTGTAGTCTTCTGTAAACTACTGATACCACACATGCTTCTTAAAGAGTCATTGAATATCTCTTCTTGCAGATTTTAGAGTCTAGGGCTAAGCAGTCTTGTGACACGTAGAGAACAGGAGTAGAATAAAAGTATAAATGCTGTCTTCGTGATTGATAACATGGTTGTCTGTCTCAGGGGCTAGCTTCTGGAAAGGGCCTTCCAAGGGTAGTTTTAAGAACAATTGCCTAGGGCTGTCTTGGGCTGAGTGTGTGGTAGAAACAGAACTTGCTCCTTCGGGGGAAGGGAAAAGAAGGCCTTGCATCCCAGAAGACTTATGGCTTCTTTTTGTCTGATGAGAGAGTGGCCTTGACAAAATACAGAGTGGATGATAGCAAATCTTGCTTTTCTCTAGTGAAGATTTTTCTTTAGCAGGGTGGAGGGATTCAGATTGTGTAAGTCTATTTGGGGTGAGTTATCTGCAATCTCCCCCTATCCCTGGGGAGAATGGGAATGACTAATTGAAGCATCCCATAACAGTAATTGAGACAGATTGGAAAGGGAAATGAGTGATTAACCTTGAGCCTCCTCCTGATGCCATGCATGGTAATGTTAGAGTATGTTTCTGGGGGGTGCCTTTAGGAGTTCATTTTCACAGAAGTCCACATAGCTCCTATAATTACATTTCAGAGAAATCTATTTCCGCCCCAACTTAAGTTTCAGATACTTGTTGCTCTGTTTTACATCATGTCATTAATGAAAGCTTGTTACTGGTGGCTGCAAAGCAGAGATGGATTTGTTCAGAAGCTAATGAAGCTGAAGCTTTAGGGCTCGTCCATTGCATGGGCCCCTTTGAAGGGCCTGGAACTGATTTTGCCTTCTTTTCTTAGACAAGAGCCCCTAAATCGTGTAGGCTTCTGGTCCCACAAAATCTGGATCTGCTTCTGCTAAAATTCCAATTATAAAAGGGTGATCTGGAATGAATTGAGAAGTTTTCCAAAATGAAGGCCAACATTTCTTCACTTTCTAGGGATTCTGGAACTGTTTAAATTAAATACATGCTTAGATTTTTATCCGGTTACAT